TAATTTATAATAGCAAGTTGAAGATCATTTTGAGCTCTGTTGTTCATCATATTTAGAAGAGTCTTCAATAAACTTGCAGTCTTAACAATTTCTCTAATTTATAATAGCAAGTTGAAAATCATTTTGAGCTCTGTTATTTTGTTATGTTTGAGAGTCTTCAAAGAATTCGCAGCCTTAACAATTTCTCTAACATAAAATAGCAAGTTGAGGCTCATGTTGAGCTCTGTTTTTATCAATTTGAAAGAGTCTCCACTCGCCCTCTAATAAAATTACAGAATAACAAGAAACATCAGGCGTTGAAAAATTGATTGAAAGTACCCGTACAGTAATAATTTGGTTAATGTAATCGTCGCGGTCGATTTCGAGTGGTCGATTAACCAGAAGAGGCGATGAAAGAGTTCGATGAAATAATGAAGGGACCAGGTCGATAAATAGTACGCCTTTCTCAGGGGCGGAGTGAGACAGGTGGAAGGAGACGGGCCCTTCGGGGTCCGCGTTAATGCCAGCCAAGGGAAGACAGCTATCAAAAGCCCGTATTTAAATATTATCAGTGAAATTACAGTGCTCAGTGATCACGAGGGCTGCTCGGTCATTACCGATGGCCAATTCGGCCTCTTTAATCGCCGTTGTCAATACTAATCGACATCGTCGTTATTTAATATTCCTCTTTGTGTTCCCTTTTTTGTACGACCGGAACAGAATATTATTATTATTTTTTTGAAATGAACCTGCAAGCCCGAAATACAACCCTTGATTCTAACTTTGTTATATAAAGCGTTGCGTGATAATGAAGGCTTTAGTCTATTTCGAAATACGATGTAATTGCCGCGATAAAGGAGCAAACATGATTTGTGTAACAACCAATTAAAGCGTAGTTTACCACTGTAAATTTCTATGTCTTTAATGCGCTTCTAAATTGCTATAATTTCACAGGCGAAATTAATAAAAGAAACGTGTTATTAATTTCTCGAGTGAAAACCACGCCGCATAAATTTTCTGCCACATCGACGATGTTCTTCGAGAAAAGCTTCGAGTATTGTAAAATACCGGGTCGGTTGAATTGTTTGGATAATTTGCTTTTACGATTTTAAAGAAATACTTCGCGGGTACACAAACTGTACGGGTTTGTGGTTCGAATCGAATTGTTAGAGAATTGCATAAAACGGACAATTTCCCCGGATGAGTCACATCGTTGGAAAAAATATACAGTACGGTTTTGACACATCGTTTCCTTCGCGATTTGAATACACGGATTTCGCGTTCATATTTCTCGCCTAATTATGCCCGCCTCGCGGAAATCTACGATCTGACAGTCGAGTCGGCTCGTACACCTCGGCCTTATGCAGAGTCACGCCAACTTCTAATTATTTAGATAGCGATCGTTGAGCTTTAATTATTTCTTCATCCTCCTCCGCCTCCTTCCTAGCCGGCCCTACCTTCGCTCTTTCTTTATTTCTTTCTTTATCGTCACGTCGTTGCTCTATTCGCTGGTGTATGCTAATAGAAACCTCTTTCAGATACCAACGCCGATATTATTTGCCATAGTCGCTTCCTAATTACCCATTCGCGGTTATTACGCTTGCTAATCCGCCGAACGTTTCGGTGTAATTACGATGTTTCCGTAATATCGCCTCTCGAAAGCCTCGTGTTCCAATCGCGCCTGTTTCTGCTACGACTGTTTCTGCTTTGGTATCATTTATTCAAATCCGAACGGACTGCCTTGGTGGTCTTCGGGAGCAGAATTGTAAATTTAAATTAATTACAGGAAAGGCAGAGAAAAGGGCTCTTAATGTTGGGACAATGATATACGTTGTTAGATTAAAATATGAAGTCAGAAGGTACACTTGTTCTTACGACATGTGTAACATATGTAACATATGTGATCGCTGTTGAAGACTCAGTTAAATTAATTACAGGAAAAGCAACTAAAAGTCACGTTTGAGAGCTCTTAATATGGAGACAATGATGTACATTGGTAGATTAAAATATAAAGTCAGAAGGTACACTTGTTCTTATGACATGTGTAACATATGTAACATATATGATCGCTGTTGAAGACTCAGTTAAATTAATTACTCATAAGGAAAGCAACCAAAAGTGATGTTTGAAGGTTCTTAATATGGAGACAATGATGTACATTGATAGATTAAAATATGAAGTCAGAAGGTACACTTGTTCTTATGACATGTGTAACATATGTAACATATGTGATCGCTGTTGAAGACAGTTAAATTAATTACTCATAAGAAAAGCAACCAAAAGTGATGTTTGAAGGTTCTTAATATGGAGACAATGATGTACATTGATAGATTAAAATATGAAGTCAGAAGGTACACTTATTCTTATGTCATGTGTAACATATGTAACATATGTGATTGCTGTTGAAGACTCAGGTAAATTAATTATTTACAAGAAAAGCAACCAAGAGTGACGTCCGAGAGCTCTTAATATTTAGACAATGATGTACATTAATACATCGAAAGATAAAGTCGAAAGATCAAGTACATTAGCTCTTATATCATATGTGACATATGTGACTGGTGATGCAAGATCAAGTTAAATTAATTATTTACAGGAAATGCAAAAGAAAATGACTTCTCAGGGTTCTTAATCTTAAGACAATTATGCAGACTGACATATTAAAATACGAGATCAAAGGTTTACAGTTGTTCTCATGTCATATGTGACATATGTGATCGCTGTTCCAGACTTGAGTTACAATTAATGGCTTCCAAAAAATGCAAGTAAAAGTCACTTTTTGAGGGCTCTTAATATTAAAACAATGATGTACATTGATACATTAAACTATAAAATAGAAAGATTAAGTAGACTTGCTCTCATGTCATATGTGACATATGTGACCGGTGATACAAATCCTTTTCCTTCAAAGAACTTTTGGAAGTTCATACACTCTTATCTTTAGACAACGAGCACTAACAAATTAAAAAACGAAACATCCTTATTTCCAATAATTTCCATTATACTATGTCTCACCACATATGTCACCTCTCATGTAACATATGTTAACACATTAATTTTGTATCAGTATTTAACAATGACAATGTCATATGACAAAATATAGCACTATAATGAAGATTTGAAACTGAATTAAATTTGAGACTTGCACAGGGTTAAATGTGAAAGTTGCACAGGGTTAGAATTAAATTTGACCCAGAAACGTGTACACATCAGTCGTTTATCAAAAGTCAGTATCCACGGGAGAATCCTTGTCAAGGATGCATTATATAATTTGATTTTGATAAGACAGCAGGGCAGCTGGTCGGTCTCAACTGTATCTCGGGCACGTGGGCACTGGTTGTGTCGCCGCACGTGAGAATGGTACTTTAAGGTGCGTGGACACAGCAGGGGCTCGCATACGGTAATCCGAGAAGAACCGCCCTTTATCAGATTGCATCAGTGATTCGCGAGCCTTCTGCAGGAACCCTTTGACAATGCCGACAACCATGTCGCCTGGCCACGTTTTTCCCTTGCCTATTTACGAATTCACGTCATATAGTACATATTTCAAACTAGCTTCTTTATTTTATACAACACCTTGATTTCGTCAACGGTCTATATTTTCTCCATCCTCAATTTGTATAATTATTAGATCGAGTGATAGTTATTACCCGAATAATCATTAGATACTAATTACATCACCCTGAGAAATTAGATCACACTGACTAATTAGACCACCCTGGCAATTAGATCACCCTGAATAATTTTGATCATACTGATTAATTGGATCACCCTGAGTAATTATATCACAGGACTAATTACATCACCCTGAGCAATTAGATCACCTTGAATAATAAGTACCAGATCATTCTGAATAATTATTAGATCATGAATAATTAATAGTTCTGAATAATTATTACCGAATCATTATTACTTTGTATTATCAATCACCGCGTTTAAGGAAGTGCGATGCGTAGAGTTACAGCGGGTGGAAGTATGATGCGTGGAATTACGGCGCGTGGAGGTGCAGTGCGTGGAATTATGGCGCAAGGAAGTGCGACGCGTGGAATTACGGCGCATGGAAGTACGGTGCGTGGAATTACGACGCGTGGAAGTATAGGGCGTACAAGTATCGGCGCGTGGAAGTACGGCGCGTGGAATTACGACGCATGGATTCACAGCGCGTCATACATTCACAAGTCGTATTTTCACGCGTAGCGATTCTACGCGTCATAATTCCACGCATCGTAATTCCACGCGTCCTACTTCCACGCGTCGTACTTCCACGCGTCGTACTTCCACGCGTGGTATTCCTACGCGCCGTATTTTCCACGCATGGTATTCCTACGCGCCGTATATCCACGCGTGGTACTCCCAAGCACCGTATTTTCCACGCATGGAATTTCCACGCATGGAATTTCCACGCATGGAATTCCCACGCATGGAATTCCCACGCACCGTATTCTCCACACATGGAATTCCCACGCACCGTATTTCCATGCGCTGCAATTCCACGCGTCGTATTTCCACGCACAGTACTTCCACACACTGTACTTCGATGCGTCGTACTTCCACGAGCCGATATTTCCACGCGTCGTACCCCCACGCGCCGTAATTCCACGCGTCGTACTTCCACGCGTCGTACTTCCACGCACCGTAATTCAACGCGTCGTACTCCCACGCGCCGTATCTCAACGCACCGTATTTCCACTCGCCGTAATTCCACGCGTCGTACTTCCACGCGTCGTACTTCCACGCACCGTAATTCAACGCGTCGTACTCCCACGCGCCGTAATTCCAGGCGTCGAAATTCCACGCGACGTACTCCCACGCGCCGTATCTCAACGCACCGTACTTCCACGCTTCGTACTTCCACGCACCGTAATTCAACGCGTCGTACTCCCACGCGCCGTATCTCAACGCACCGTATTTCCACGCGTCGTAATTCCACGCTTCGTACTTCCACGCACCGTAATTCAACGCGTCGTACTCCCACGCGCCGTATCTCAACGCACCGTATTTCCACTCGCCGTAATTCCACGCGTCGTACTTCCACGCGCCGTATCTCAACGCACCGTACTTCCACGCGCCGTAACTCAACACACCGGCCTTCCACGCATCACACATTCACAACTCGTATTTCCACACGCATATCTGCGTTGAATTAAGCTAATTATAAAAGTGTCCGTGTTGTTAAGTACTCATCAACAAATAAGTAAACGAAAGATTTTGTTATATATTTTGAATTGATATGTGATGACAATCTTGCACGTAGGTTCGATTAAACGATCACTCCCGTGGAGTCCCGCAGAATTCGCGGGCGGTCACGTTTCAACGATACCGTGCAACCACTATGATTACGTACCTCGATGACGAACCTAAGCTAGCTTTGCAAGAAGGCAATCCAAATCGAGTCGACTGGAATTAATCGGACTTTTGTTCCATCGCAAAGTGCTTATTAAGGTCGTGCCTTATTAAGTTCCACGGGGCATGCAAACATGGACGAGATTCGATCCGGACGGAAAAGTCGTCGACAAAAGCGGATACCTTTATTACAGACAAACGTGACCGGTCACGGTGGATGTAATTTCTGTTTAGAAATTATGAACGTGGTAGCGAGAACTTTATCAAGGTAGCTTTTGATCGAATCGTACCATGAACAGTTAAGTAGTAATTATGTTGCGATTGTAACCAGTAATTAACTTGACTGATTTTGTTATACATATTCGTTGGAATTAATGGCGAGCGAGATTATGGAGATAATCGCGAGTAATTTAACTAAGCTTCTAGCAAATTACGTGTTAAGATTTCTGAAGTTAACGAAATAGAAGGTGGAAGAATACTTGAAATATTTTATTTTAAAAACAGCAATTTTGGTCTTTTTTGTATGTGATGTCTTTGTCTGTCATGTGATTCATATCTGATCATGCACGTATTCTGAACAATTTGCTGGGTTATTACTTGATTACTTTATTACTTGAAAATAGACAGAACAGTCCAGAGTGGATTAAGTCGTTATCTATTGTGAACCATCTTTTTAACGCGACAATGTATTTACCAAAAAGTTATGAGAACATCGAACGTATGTTACACAAAGTGATGAGAAAAATATTCTATGTACATCATTTTTATCATTGCAACAATTGACACACTATTAAAACGCTTTACAAAAATATTCAGATGCACAACAACAATCTCTCATTCAGAATATTTGATCATCATTCTTTCCTTGTCACAATAATAACATGTATTCTATACAAATATCTGATGATAAAAAATTATCAAATTGTCAAAAAAACTGTCAGCCATTTGTGATGTTCGGAATTAGACAGTTCATAGACCTCGGTCGAAAGAACAAAATTTGCGTAACAGAATCCGAGAAAGATCGGCCAATTTTCATTTTCGAGGGTTGAACCCCAGCCACGCATTTGTGTGCCTTCAGTTGGTACCTCTCGCCATACTGACGTCCGCAGAAGTCGCATTTGTAAGGTTTCTCGCCGATATGACCGTAAATGTGCTTAGCCAACTTCGTTTTCACGCTGAACCGCGACTTGCAGAAATCGCACTCGAATCGTTTCACACCTGTGTGCCGATACCTGTGCACCTTCAGGCCCCACGATCTTCTGTAGCATTTGCCGCAGTCCTCGCACTTGTATGGCCTCACACCTGAAATAAAACAAGTCTTTTACAATTTTCATATGGGGATGAATGTCACTATGATTTTATATAGGTAGTATTTGTAAACGTGGTTATACCACGCGCCGTAATTCCACGCGTCGATATTTTCATGCGCCGATATTTCCACGCGCCGTAATTCCACGCGCCGATATTTCCACGCGTCAAAATTTCCACGCGCCGTAACTCCACGCGTCGTACTTCCACGCGTCGTAATTCCACGCGTCAATATTTCCGCGCGCCGTAATTCCACGCACCGATATTTCCACGCGCTAATATTTCCACGCGTCGATATTTTCACGCGCCGTAACTCTACGCGTCGTACTCCCATGCGCCGTACTCCCATGCGCCGTAATTCCACGCACCGATATTTCCACGCGCCAATATTTCCACGCGTCGATATTTCATCCTATGCGCCGTACTCCCATGCGCCGTAATTCCACGCGTCGATATTTCCATGCGCCGATATTTCCACGCGCCATAATTCCATGCGCCGTATTTTCACGCGCCGATATTTCCACGCGTCAAAATTTCCACGCGCCGTAACTCCACGCGTTGTACTCCCACGCGTCGTAATTCCACGCGTTGATATTTCCACGCGCCGTAATTCCACGCGCCGTATTTTCACGCGCCGATATTTCCACGCGTCAAAATTTCCACGCGCCGTAACTCCACGCGTTGTACTCCCACGCGTCGTAATTCCACGCGTTGATATTTCCACGCGCCGTAATTCCACGCACCGATATTTCCACGCGCCAATATTTCCACGCGTCGATATTTCCACGCGCCGTATCTCTACGCGTCGTACTCCCATGCGCTGTACTCCCATGCGCCGTAATTCCACGCGTCGATATTTCCATGCGCCGATATTTCCACGCGCCATAATTCCATGCACCGATATTTCTATGCCCCGATATTTCCACGCGCCGTAACTCTACGCGTCGTACTCCTATGCGCCGTAATTCCACGCGTCGATATTTCCACGCGCCGTAGTTCCACGCGTCGATATTTCCAAGCGCCGATATTTCAACGCGCTGTAACTCCACGCGCCGTAGTTCCACGCATCATATTCCCACGCGCCATAATTCCACGCACCATACTTCCACGCGCCGTAATTCAACGCACCGTACTTCCACGCGCCATAATTCCTCACGTCGTACTTCCCCGTACCGTAATTCTACGCACCATCCACGCGTCATACATTCACAAGTCATATTTCCACGCGTAACGATCCTACGCGTCATAATTTCACGCGCTGTAATTCAACATACCGTATTTCACCGCGCTATAATTCAATATACCATTTCAACGTGTTTCGACGTGTGAAATTCCTACATCACATACGTTGGAATCTAAATATTCCTCTTCTGTCTCATGCATACGCCTGCATACGAAATACCCAGTGCATAATATCTGAAGTTACGAGTGATATAAATGGGCCCTCTGATTACGAATGTAGTAGATGAAAACCAGGAAACTAACGAGACAACTCCCGCTGGCAATGTGAATATTCTCATAAGTATAGACCGGAAGGAAGTAGCGTCGCGGGGCGAACGGGGGATGCAAATAGGGGATAAAAGAATTTCGCAGCATGAGAGCGTCCCGTTGGTTTATTCCGTCGGAGTTTCTGCTTTCTCATATAAATTCGTGTCGGTATTGAGACATAAAAATGGTAGATAAGCACGGCTGTAACCCGTCACGCGGTCTTCGGATGCATCGCTTAACCGGTAGACGTATTAATTAGAAAATGAAGCATCCTGTGGCACACACCGGTGTTACGCTGCCAATTAACCCTGTACCGTCGCGATGGGGTGTTGCACGGTGTGCATGGTCGACGGCCATTTAAATAGCGATAACGTTTCGGTTGTAAACTCCGAATAATACGATGTTGATGTTGCGATGCTCGCTTAAAGACGCCATCGCTTCTAGTTTCGTTTTATAACAACTGGGATATTTCTGAAATTAAAACAGGGGCTGGTTTCCGGGTGTAAACCATGCTTCGTCAACGTTTCACCGTCGCTTTATCTACAAATCGACGTTTCATTAGCGAGCTACTTCTTTAGGGCCTATAAACATTTTAATCTCCCTTTTATTCAGTAGATAAGTCTCATTTTCCACGATCGACTAACTAGCAGGTTACAGTAAACGATTCAACACAAAGTTGCAATTATTAGAACTTGGAAGAGTTATATCTCGAAGATCCTTATCTTAATCCGCAGTTTGTAGGCTATAAAACGTCGTAAAATGCAGATTATTCTTTCATGCTTTACTTGTGAACGTGTTTGCTTTGAATTTATACAAACTCCTGTTATGTGTCCTGGGTCTATGTGTACAAGAACTTGATTGCGCTCATCGAGTGTCTGTTATCAAAAACATAATTGAACGACCATTAAACTTCTCATATTATGTGACAGTACATGAAAATTATTTTTCTGCATCATCAAGTCCAATGTCTATTATGTGACAATTTATGAGGAACATCTTAAAAGACAGCTATTAAACTTCTCCCGCAATGAGACAATACATGAAAATTATTTTTCTGCATCATCAAGTCCAATGTCTATTATGTGACATTTTATGAGGACCATCTTAAAAGACAGCTATTAGACTTCTCCCACAATGAGGCAATACATGAAAATTATTTTTCTGCTTCATCAAATCAAATGTCTATTATGTGACAATTAATGAGGCTCTTCTTATAAGACAGCTATTAAACTTCTCCCACAATGAGACCAAACATGAAAATTATTTTTCTACATCATCAACTTCAATGTCTATTATGTGACAATTTATGAGGATCATCTTATAAGACAGCTATTAAACTTCTCCCATAATGAGACAATATATGAAAATTATTTTTCTGCATCATCAAGTCCAATGTCTATTATGTGATAATTTATGAGGAACATCTTAAAAGACAGCTATTAAACTTCTCCCACAATGAGACAATACATGAAAATTATTTTCCTGCATCATCAAGTGCAATGTCTATTAAATCACAATTAATGAGGTTCTTCTTTAAAGAGAACGATTAAACAGATCCTCACCATAATGTGACAATATATGATGCTTCAAAGCTCCCTTCAGATGAAAGCGATGTTTGCAAATATCGCACTCGAAGCGTCTAACACCCGTGTGCGTCAACTTGTGAGTCTTCAGCACGGAGGATCTCTTGAACTTCGCCGGGCAAAGGTCGCACTCGTACGGTGAGTCCGCTGTGTGGACGATCATGTGCGCCCTCAAACTACTCGGTCGTAGGAATCGTTTCTTGCAGATCGAGCACTCGAATGGTTTCACGTTCGTGTGCATCAGCTTATGATCGCGCAACGATTGTCGATGAAGCAGCTTCTTCTTGCATACGGAACATTCGAATGGTCTTCGCTTCGAGTGCACTTCTTCTTGGTGCGTCTTTAATTGGTCCCTATGCTGAAATTCGTAACTCTTCAAAATTTGTGTGAAGATTCTTGAAATTATATTTAAACTCTTGTCAATTTGTAACCAAATTCAACATTCTTTTCTTTGTTCAAAAAATATGAGACAAGGGTGAGCCATGCGAACAGTGAAACAATGTTTTGAAAATTAATGACAAAGTTTTTGTGAATATTATGTTAATGTACCTGAAAACGTAGGTTACAGCGAGTGCATACAAAGACTTCTAACCTCTCGTGTAGTCGAAGATGATCTTTCAAAGTTGATGACCTTAAAGAGAAAATTTGTTGAACAAATATTATATGACGCACATGGTGCGTCAGTACTTAGACAAGTTCAAAATGAAAATTAAGAAAAATTGAAGCAACAAAAAACTACCTTTACTTGAAACAAGGGATAAAGACTTCCTGAAGAAATTTTAAAAAATAAAAATATTTTAAGAGCGAATACCTATGACACACCTAGTGCGTCAGCAGTAAAACCTGTGCAAAATGAAAGTTACATGAAAGTTAATTAAAACTGAAGCAAGAAGAAACTACATTTACCTGAACCAAGAAAATAATAATCGATTCTTGAAGAAATATTAAAAAATAAAAATGAAACTGAATACCATATGACACACCTGGTGCGTCAGCAGTAAAACCAATCAAAAATGAAAGTCAACTAAAGTTAAAAATCAAAGCAAAATTACCTAAAAATGAAACATGATAAGTTGAAACAAGAGGATGATAAATAGTTCTCGAAGTATTAAAAAATAAATATATACTAACGCTGTATCGTTAAGGCGACATGATCTACAGGCAACTAGATAACTAATTATAGTGTATAATAGCCTTCAACATCTTAATTAGTGCTCGAGATGTTCTACACACCGTGAAAACTGTTTCCTGCAAAATCCACACTGAAAGAGTTTTCCATGACTATGTCTGACCATATGCGTCTTGAATTCATCTTCGTCCGGAAACTCGATCCTGCACACGCTGCAGAACAATCGTTTCCCGCCCGTCAACGCCTCGATGTACTCCTCGAAGTCCACGTACTCCTTCTTCCAAGGATCGCATTCTTTCTTCGGGACAAAATTTTCGTCCACTTGTAACTCGTCGTTCGCCGAGAAGTTCTCGATCTCGTCGAGGATCTCCGTCTTGATTTTCACCTTGCGAGTGAAAACGATGTTCATATTCATGGCGAGCATTACGCACGCAGGATATTAGATAATTTGCTCGCTTCCGCGAGAAATGACGGGAGTCACGCGGAAAGTGAAGTCGTGTTTAATAACGAGGTTGCGTAACAGAAACAAAGAAAAGAAACTCTAATAAAAAAATACGGTTAAACGGCGAGGTATGATACAGCTCATTTACTATTACGAGCCGCGGTTTTGTTATGTGGCAATTTTTTTCTATGGTCCGCGGACTTTTACGATTGCGGACAGATTTAATATAACAATTCCCGGCCATATTAAAGAAAGGGAAAAAGAATACGTGGCCGTTGTGCAAGCTTTTATATAATCAATTATGCAATTAGCAGATCGCGGACTGATTCAACGACGAAATAATAAGGCGGCCTCGAAGCTCGTGATTACAAGGATGTTTTAGCCGGCAGTTTTTATACCTGGTTGCGCGCTATCATAACCTAATCAAGAGGCTCTTTCACGCAGCAGAACCTACTTCTTTGCACCGCTCGCAACGCTTCTGCGTCCCTATTATCTTCACATCGCCGCTCCCTCGATTTTCCGTACGATCCTCCGTGCTCGGACAACGCTTTGAATGGACCTCGTACTCTTGCGACATGTCCTTACGTTCGGTGAAAGAATTTCGAGAACCGAGACGGGCAGAAACAATCGAACGGGAGCACGAGCGGATTATCGGCGTCGTCGATTCGATCATTTGTATTACTATGTTTTTGTGGATCAAGTTTACGTTTATGAGTAGGTAGCGCGTCGTGTGTTGGATGTAAGGTGGGGGTTGTTGGGGGAAATTTGAGGAATTTAGGGAATTTGTAGGTGAGAGATTTGAGATTTGGGGAGATGATGACTTTGGGGTTTGAGAGATAGAGGACTGGGAAATTTGAGGAGTTGGGAATTTGGAAATTTGGGGTTTTAGGGATTTGAGAAGATGGGGAGTTTGGGAATTTGGGAATTTGAGAATTTGGGGGGTTTGAGAATATGAAGGATTTGAGAATCTGAGGGGTTCGCGAATTTGGAGAGTTTGCAACAACATCATAATTCATAATGTATAAACCTTAAGGAGCGATTGAAAACCTCATCGATTGAATCGACAATCGATGTTTATTAATGTAACCTTGGTGGGCTTAATTACGCAATCATCAGCGTCGGTAAACCGCGTGTAAAGCATTTGTATCCCCTAATTACATTACTTGTTCGCGGGGGCGGCGCAGAGATATTTTATTACCCCGTAAAGAAGGAGGTAAATAAAAGGTACACTGAGCTGATACGAGTAATTAGCGTGGAGCAACGTCTCTACGGTTTCAGTATACCAATCAGAGCGGTACGAAAGAAGCACAATGCTTCGTTATACAGGGTGCCTCACAATTAATATGTCCCTAAAATGGAGGGTTGACGTGATTTTAAATAAGATTTTCGTTTGCGAAAATGGGGTTTAAAGCTTCGTTTTTGAATTATTAGACGCGTGGTAATTCAACGCGTAGCAATTCCACGCTTGGTAATTCGATGTGTGGTAATTCCACGCGTAGTAATTCAACACGAGGTGATTCCACGCGTGGTAATTCGACGCGTGGTGATTCCACGCGTGGTAATTCGACGCGTGGTAATTCGACGCGTGGTAATTCAACGCGTAGTAATTCGACGCGTGGTAATTCGACGCGTGGTAATTCAACGCGTAGTAATTCGACGCGTGGTAATTCGACGCGTGGTAATTCAACGCGTAGTAATTCGACGCGTGGTAATTCGACGCGTGGTAATTCAACGCGTAGTAATTCGACGCGTGGTAATTCGACGCGTGGTAATTCAACGCGTAGTAATTCGACGCGTGGTAATTCGACGCGTGGTAATTCAACGCGTAGTAATTCGACGCGTGGTAATTCGACGCGTGGTAATTCAACGCGTAGTAATTCGACGCGTGGTAATTCGACGCGTGGTAATTCAACGCGTAGTAATTCGACGCGTGGTAATTCGACGCGTGGTAATTCCACGCGTGGTCATTCAACGCGTGGTGATTCCACGCGTGGTAATTTGACGCGTGGTAATTCCACGCGTAGTAATTCCACGCGTGGTAATTCGAGGCGTAGTAATTCCATGCGTGGTAATTCGACGCGTGGTAATTCCACGCGTAGTAATTCCA